TTGAACGAGGAATTTATATTGTCTTTTTTTTTTTTTTTTTGAACAGAGGCCGATTGAAATGAAGTAAAGAATATGTATGACAACCGAGGGTTAGAGTCGAGGTTCGATATTTTGGAGGATAGAAAGAAACTCGATTAAAGATTTTGAAAGATAGATATATATTGATTCAATATCTGGGATGGATGTTTGTATGATTTTTTTCTTACTTGGAAAAACAATCCTATGCTAAATAAGTGATTTCATTTTGACAGAAGAAGCTTTTTCTAGAATTAACTACAAGAAGAGAATAGAAGAAGAAGAGATACGAAATTGGACAGCATATCTATAATAGTCCTTCGTTGTTGAATTTCAGTATGGTCAAAATATAAAAAGTGGAATGGAAGATAATAAATTTCAGGGTAGTTTGTTGAAATAAATAAGAAGAAAAAAAGATAAAAAAATTTATGCACGAGAGGAGAGAGATATTCTATAATCCTCGATTGATTTTAGTGTAGATTGTATAAGAATTGGCAAAGTTTAACAGGATGAAGGGATAGGAAGTTTCGAAGTTCGTAAAAGGGAAGACTTGGTGGTGCTCCTCTGATCTTGGATTTTCTTACTTTTTGTAAAGTTCGATAAGTCGAGATTAAGCTTTCGCAAGTTGAAGGAATTTGTTGTAGAAATTGCAACAATAAATCGGCAACTTTTCTTATTTTCGTTTCAAATATTTGGAAATTTGTCAATCGATTAGAAAGAAGACATAAATCTTCTTCTTCTGCATAAAAAAAAAAAATCTTCTGCAATTGTACAGCCAATCAAAAGAAAATTTCTCTATTTTCGTAAAGTAGATTTCTTCCCTTCTTCAAATTTACTTTCTTCAAATTCTTCAAATTCTTCAAATTCTTCCTGACTAATTTCAGATCAATCTATTTTCATATCAATCAAGAGAAAATGTGAATCGATTAATATTATTATTACGAGAGATAATAAAACTAGATCTAATTTTCCTATATCCGCACACAAGAGAAGAAAATATTCTTCATTATTCCACGGATATCCAAATATCATCGGATACAAGAAGAAAACAAATAGATTCGAGGAAAATCTCTCCAATTATAGGTTCGTATAATGCGAAAGTATCGGCTTCCATCGAATTGGGCACGATCGTGCGATTCCAATTTACCACAGGTTATTCCTCGTACGAGGCCATTATTTTCTTCCACATTTCTTGCACACAGAATGTTCTGGAAATACTCTCTTCCATCCTCCCCTTCTCTATCTCGAATCTAAAAAACTCGTCTCGGTGAAGTGATATCGATGGATAAAAGGTTGATTCGTTCAATGGAACGATTTCCTGGCGCAAATACTTCGAAAAAGATATCCGCGCGTGAAAAAAGAAAAAGAAAAAAAAAAAGGAAGATCCCGAATTTCGAACAGCCACTCGAGGAGTTCATTGGTTTCGAAGCAATTATCGTGGCCAATGTCGTGTTTCGAATGCCGCTTTAAAATTTCAATCCGTCTTTAATTACGGAAGATTCTCGTGTCTCTCGTTTCACCGTGCTCCTGTTTCGCCACGAAAATCCGACAAGGAAAGGTACTTAAGGGGAAATACGTGCGTTCAACGAGCGTGATGTTTCTTCGTTCCACGGAAGAATATGTTTCATTTAAATCTCTATTGATTTGGAATTTTCCTCGTTTCTGGGGAAAATTGAAATTTTTACAATTTAATTTGGAGATTAGAAGTTAAAAATCGTGGTAAGTAAGAGGCAATGGCAGTAAAATGGCAGATAAATAAAATAGAATTTTTAGAATTTATCTACCGATAAATTATTTTTTTTTCATTTTAAACAATTTTTATTAGGACGATGTAGTTCGAAAAGTAAAAATATCCAGCCCAATCATACACATCGAAGATAAAGTCCCTTCAATTTCTTAAAGAACAACATCATTATCCTCTCTCACTATTACCCAGCCAATCGTCGTGAACCTCGAAACTTTCGAAAAGAAAACCCTTGTGGAATAGAAAGTATCCACTTTTGGAGAGGGAAGAAATCGACGACGTGCAGGATGGTATAGAAAGTGGAATTGATGGAATAAAGGCACGTACACCGGAAGTAGAGCTCCAAGGACCTCCGCTTGTGTGGAAACGCGAGAACTGGTTTGAAACAAAAGGGTCTGAGCAGGGGAATTGGTGGTCGAATTGGGGTCAGAAACGATCCCAGGTAGATAGACGTGGACAATACACGTGTGTGTACGCGTGTCTCGCCTGAGAGAAAGAGAAAAGGAAAGAGGGAGAAGAGAAGCGTGCAGAGATTTCGCCTTTTTCCTTCGATGTTCGAAGATTGATGATTCGAATTGTTGAGGATTGATCGCCCTGGGATAATTCGAGATGAATTTCTATACATGACGAATATATTTTTCGACATTGTGGATGTTGTTGTTATTTTATTTTAAATAATTTTAAATAATTATTCGAATGATGAATATAAAGATAAATTATTATATTGTTTTGACAATGCAAATAATTCTTGAGTAATATTATATGAAATATAAATTATTTTAATATATTTACTCAATCTGTAAATATGTTATATTTCTGGTGGGATTTTAATTTAATTTAATTCCTCGAGAGCCGTTTTTTTAAAAGATTTATCGGCCCGGTGAAATCATCGTGGCGATTTATAGCAAAAAGTTTAAATCGTATATGTTCCTTTATCTGTTTCGTTGGACGTGAAGAGTAGGTTTCGAAGTTTGGGATATCGATCTCAGCTGAAACTTTTAGGGCACGTAGCAGGATTCTTCCGCTTTACAAATCACGTATACGTGTATAAGGGCAAATACTGGAAACTTTTTGAATTATTCGTTTTCAAAGTTCAGAGAGTTCTTCGTGACTCAAATACAAGTCACTTGATTAAATTATTAAAATCAATTTGCGTTGCGAGAATAGAGCTCGATACATTTCTATATCATCGTCTCTCTTCGAATTGTATCAAAGATGAAGTTTAAAATTTACCCTCAAAATTCCCAATAACTTAAAATTGTTCGCCCAAGATTAAGGAGCATCCATCAAACATCGTTTCGAAACTGCAACGAGGTTCATATTGCTGACAATTTTAATTAAACCTGCCTAAAGCGTTCACAAAGAGGCAACCCTGCAACCCTGTTAAATCCATAATTCCGAGAGAAGGTCTCCCTCCCCTCCCTTCTCTCCTATTTCCTCTTTGCCGTTGCTCCTCCTTGATCAGAAGGCTTGCCACGAAGGAAAAAGCTCTTCCTTGCTTTCAGCGATCAGAAAGTTCGAATGTAGAGAAATGTAAGAAACGAGAAGAGAAAGAAAGACGGTACGAGAGAAAGAGCGAATATACGAAACGAGTAAGACGAAGAGGAGAAATATGGAATGAGTTGGAGAAAGAGAGAGAGAGAGAGAGAGTGGAGGTAAGAATCTCGTCGGTATGATTTCCTTGGCGTTACCATCCTGTTTTATTCATCACCATAGTCATCGGGATAAGATAGGATTGGTCAGTTTCAGTCCCTTGGTAGCTTATACCGTGGACACTCGATGAACTCGAAGAAAATCTTGTTTTCGTTTCATTATAACCTGTATGTGTGCGCGCGCAGTCGAAAACGAATTTTCTTGGAACAGTCTCAAGTTTCGTTTCCTTTTCACTGAATTCGTGTTTCATTTCATATTTTTGTCTTAATTGTAAACCGTGATCTCATTACATTTTTAGAATTTAAGATTCATTAATTAGAATTTAAGATTCTAAAAAAAAAAAAAAAAAAAAAATGAAACGAAAAAAAAATTAAAAATTTTTATTTTAATTTTTTTTATTTTTTTTTTTTTAATTTTAAACCGTGATCTCTTTTCATTTTTTGAATTTTAAATTTTTTAATTAAAAATTAAGATTTTAAAAAAAAAAAAAAAAAAAAAATGAATCGTAAGATAAATTGATAATTTTGATTTTAATTCTTTGTATATTTTATTTATATAATTTAATTAATTAATGTCGTTAGTTTCGGTAAATTATTATCTATCGTTAAAATCTTATTTTTAATTTTTCAGGTAAATATAATAAATTTAATTTTAAACTAGAGTGGATGAATACAATTATTGATATTTCTCTCCGTGAAAATATTTTTTCAAACTGTATATTTTTCTCAAAGAAATTCTTTTTCACCTAGGAGTAATTTTCATTAAAAATATTTCTATCCTAATAATTTATTTTTAGAGAAATTTTCTCTAGCAAAGTAGTTTTACACGAAGATGTAAGTAGAATAGAGCTTTTTGTAAATAAACAATACTTATTTTGATCCAAAATGCAAATTGAATAATAAATATAAAGAGATAAAACTGAGATAATTAAGAGATGTAAAATTGTGCTTCTCAATTCGTCTAAAATAATGATTCCTCTTCTAAGTTCAATTTTCCTTGATTTTCATAATTTTCATTTGAATTTATTTATACATTTCTCGAAGATTTTATCCGATTACATTTAATTATAACGGCAATTGTATTTACTTCCTCATTTCCTTTTCATCGAATTACACAAGTTTTCAATTTTCAAAATATTTCTCCATTTAAGAGTTACTTGAAATTAAGATCTCATTCCATTCTATAGAGTTTCTCACTATGTTCATTTGCAAAATATCTACTTCAATTGGTGTAGGAACAAATTATGAATAAAGGAACATTGAACGTCCGTTTATTAAAGAAACATTAATTTCCATCCAAATATTATTCAG